ATAACTGTGTAATGATACTCTGCTATTAGCATTTTTAAGCATGCTAACATCTCTATATTAAGATAACGTGGTTATTAAAAATGCTTCAGAGAAGCAAAAGTACACACAACTTTTACATGATGTAAATGAACTATTTTCTCTTTTTTTTTTAACAGCTAAAAATAGATAAATTTAAACTCAAAAAAAAATTCAGGTGCTGCTTCCAGTTTTAAAGAATCAGTTTAGTATTCACTCTAATTTTGCACCTAGTAGTTAGCAAGATTTATCATATTGTTTATGATTTAGTGAAGAGAGACATTGTAGTTTGAGAGTGACCATTTTCATTAAGAAGTGGGTGTAAAAGAAGCAAGACCATCTGCAAGCCCTAATAAAATATCCGTGATGTATTAAAACCAGAAAAACACTATGTTGTATACTTCTGTGCACACAGCCATGCCAGACAGTGCTGACAGCTCTGTGATAAGTTATATTCATCGCACAATTTTGATCACTGAATCCACATTCTTTCTACTGGTCCATTTCCTCCAGATCTAAATATAAGACCAACAGTAAACTGTTGGTTTGTTTGGGTTTTTTTTTTTTTTTAATACAAACAATAAGAAAAGATGCATTATTCTCTTCAAAATTCTCAAGGGATGTTCAAACAAATTGTCATTCATCATAAAAGGCTTGAAGTTTGCCATCTCTATATCATCAGCATTGCTAACAAGGCAAATGTTCAGAAATAAGATTAAGGAGGATGTGCACCTATATTACAGTTTTGATAGGCCTTATTTCCTGGGCCTGAAATAGCAGTCTTCTCAGTTTCTGGAAAATAAGGACTTGGCTTTTTAAAGACTGTATTTAACCAATTGCAGACAGAAGCACAGCTAGACCGTATGAGCCCTGTTTGAAATCTGGAGGAAAACCACAGTAACATGAACTACCTACATAATAATAGAGAGTAAGGAGTAGACATTCTTTGAGTGGCTGTAAAAGGAGGGGAGAAGTAATAGTAAAATGTATTTGATGCCAGGAACTTTTTCTCCATTTATCTGTATGCTCACAAGTACATCTATATACAATAAAGAGTGATATACATGACACACACAGAACATACCTGCCAGCATAAATATTTTTGTGAGTGTGAGAAAAAGGATCATAGAATCATAGAATGGTTAGGTTTGGAAGGGACCTTAAAGATCATCTAGTTCCAACCCCTCTGCCACGAGCAGGGACACCTCCACTAGCCCAGGTTGCTCAAAGCCTCATCCAGCCTGGCCTTGAACCCCTCCAGGGATGGGGCATCCACAGCTTCTCTGGGCAACCTGGGCCACTGCCTCACCACCCTCACAGTGAAAAATTTCTTCCTAACGTCTAGCCTAAATCTACCCTCTTTCAGCTTATACCCGTTACCCCTTGTCCTATCACTACACCCCCCGATAAAGAGTGCCTCCCCATCTCTCCTGTAGCCCCCTTTAGGTACTGGAAGGCTGCTATTACATCTCCTCGGAACCTTCTCTTCTCCAGGCTGAACAACCCCAACTCTCTCAGCCTGTCCTCAGGTGCTCCAGCCCTCTGACCAATTTCATGGCTCTCCTCTGGACTCTCTCCAACAGGTCTACTTCTTTTTTATGTTGAGGCCCCCACATCTGAACATGGATACGGTAAATAAACACACTACTACTGAATGCAGAACCCTTGCAGAGCTGCCTTCCCAGGAAACTCCCTTCCCGCTCCCCCCAAGTGGAAACTATAATGATTAAATCCAACTTCCCAAAGATAGTAAATGCAGTTAGCTAAATTCGTGGAAAACTAGAAATAAGACTAAAAAGGCTGTTCAGAAAGACCACGTCGTCTTAATGACTTTAGCTCACAGGAAAAGCAGATAATTGGTTTAGTTCAGGTTCCTTCTCCACCCCTCAGAAAGCAGTATCCTAGTCTTTTAGCAGTCCCGCACATTTTAATTACATTATTG